TCTCAGGGTACGGGCGCTGATTCCGGGTGGGAGGGGAATGGGTGGTGGGAGGGGGCGGGGCGTCTCCAGAGCCACGCCCCTAAGTGGGCGTGGCCGCGAGCCCGGAGCCGGCTCCGGCGTGCTTCTGGGCGAGTGGCTCTGGGTCGCGGCCGCCAGGGCTTTCTGGAGAGTAAATTGGCCCAGAGAGGAAGTTTTCAAGGGGCCCGCGGTACGGATTTGCCTATCGGTGACCTCAGGAGACCGTGTGATCCCCGCCACCGTCGTTAGTGTGGGCGCCTGTGCTTGCTGTCCTGACTTACTGGAGTTCTGGCTCTGTTTTTCCTAACCTTCGTTTTACCCGCCGCGGCTGTTGTAAGATGTGGGGAGGAAGGATTGTAGCTGTAGGATCTGAAAGCCACTGGGGAAAACAAAAGTTTTCTTCTAGTCTGGCAGGACCTTCCTTTGGACAGCGGCCCAGGTTTTTTGTTTGTTTGGTTTTTGTTTTGTCTTAAAAGTGAAATTGAGGTTGAAATACAAATAATGGGAACCTGAGGTTCAGCAGTCTCAATTGACAATGAGCAAGATCCAAAAAGCAGGAACTTCATAGAAGGCTGGCGTTGGATGGATACAGGAAATTAATTCCAAGTAGGTGAAGTGTAGCTCCTAGAAAATTGGTGGCTTTTCAAGCTGAAAAATTCTGCACATTGTGCACCCCAAGGCACAACTCCTCCTTTGCGAATATAAAATTTGAAGCATAATATTAAGCTATTTCTTCCTCTAGATAAAAAACTTACACCAATATTTGTGACAATTTACTGCTGTGATACTGAACTATTCAGATCTCTGGTATACTCTCTAAAAACACTTTTTTTAAAGCAAAACACTTGAAGAGATTCTTCATAAGGAAGTTTTATTTTCTCGAGTTCATTTTTTTTTCTTCTTTTAGAAAGTGATGTATTGGTACTGGAGTGATAGCTCAGCAGTTAACAGCACTAACTGTTCTTCCAGAGCACCTGGGTTCAATTCCCAGCACCCACATGGCAGCTCACTACTGTAAACTCCAGTTCCAGGGGACCTGACACCCTCACACAGACATACAGGCAGGAAAAATACTAATACACATAAAATAAAAATAAATAAATCAGTAAGTGAAGTATTAAAAAACTATAAGCCAGGTGTGGTGGCACACACCTTTAATATCATCACTTGGAAGTCAGAGGCAAGCGGATCTCTGGATCCAAGGCCAGCCTGGTCTACAGAATGAGTTCCAGGACAGCCAGGACAACACAGAAAAAAAGAGAAAGAAAAGAACGCCCAGAACTGAAACGCAGTTTAGAAAGTAGTCCATGTAAACAGCTCTCTGGAACACTGGGTACTTTCCAGCTCCAATTCCCAGTGTGCTGATAAGAGCTTGTCCTTTGTCTACAGCTCAGGTCCCTACGCAGACTCAACTCCTGACCTTTTGAGCACTTCCCTCAGTCTCTCAGGCAGGTGTACTATATCTCCTACAGTTTGCCTGACCAGTCGAGGATAAGGAGTTCTCTGGAAGACTGCTAGGGGAATGGTGCACTCCTTTACTCCCTTAGTATCCAGGTGTCTCTCAAATTTAATTCTCACACCGGACTCTTCTTTGAAGTCGAATTTCCCTAGTTGCCTCTGTCATAGTAAACAGACAGCATTTCAAAACCCAAAATAGGTAAAGACAGAATTTTTCATCTCTTTCCTTCCGAGCCAACACCTGCTTTCTGTATTCAGAGTCCGTACCTTGCAGTGGTCAATTCCTCAGCATTTACTCCTGCTGCTCCTGATGTCTTAGCTGGCTGCGAATAATTCATAGTTTTATTCACTTTATGGTGGCACCGAGACCTATTAGGATGTGCTCTAAAGCAGGCACTGGATTCTTGATGTATAAAACCCAGATATTTTTCCAGCACTCAAGCAATGGCACCAAGAGATGGACAGCCAGCCAGGTGGATGTTGCAGACCACTATCATCCCTCATCTCCACATGACCAACAGCAACTAGACACAACACCTTCTTCATCTTGGTGTGGATTTCATCACCATGGCCCCATATTTTCATTGTGCACCAGCAGGGAAGGGAACTTGCCAGCCTTAATTAGGCCTGGGCCCAGGATTTTGGGATCTGCTGGATCAGAGACTTGGAGGACAAAAAGGCATCACCCTTTTTGCCCAAGTTCTTTTCCTATTTTTTTTAAAGAATGTAATTTTAAAAAGTTATTTATTTTATTTTATGTGTATCAGTGTTTGCCTGCATATCTGTGTGAGGGTGTCAGATCTTGGGAGTTACAAACAGTTGTGAGCTGCCATGTGGGTGCTGGGAATTGAACTCAGGTCCTCTGGAAGAGTAGTCACCGCTCTTAGCCACTGAACTATCTCCAGCCCCTTTTCCTGTTTCTTACTCTTACTAAGCTTCTTCAGCACCTCACTGTCCGTGTGGGAGACAGCCACAGCCTTGGCCTCATCACAATCCCAGTCCCCGGGGATGCACACAGAGAACTTGGGACAGGGAGTGGACTTAGGCTGATGGTGCCTGAGAAGCATTTGCCCTCCTGACATTCTTTAGGCTCATTTGCAGCTCTTCTGTTTCCAGAAACTTGTGGCACTTTTGCTAGTTCCTGTGCAGGACTTCCCACACTGCTTGGTTCAGAGTGTCTCCAGAGACTCTGTTTTTTCATGGCTGCTCACACTGGGAAAGCCAGAAAAATAAAACAAAACAAAAAAAACTTTATTTACTTCTTATGTTCTTTTTATCCTTACTCTTAAGTGTCAAGAAGACAAAAATCCATAGCCTTGTTACAGATACAGATAAACTTGAACAATGTCAAGCATATATAAAGCACTCAATAAATATTTGCTGAATGAAATGGATTAATCCTTATATTTTTGGTTGTGAGCCTAGCCTTTAACGGCTGAACCAGCTCTCCAACCCAAATGGATTAATCCTTTAGAGCATATAAATTAAGATGGTATCCCTTGGGGCTGAAAAGGTAGCTCAGTGGTTAAGGGCAGTTGCTCTTCCAGAGAACCAGGTAGTTCACTGCCGAGCACATGTTGGGCGGCTCACAACCAACTGTACCTTCGGCTACTGGGTATCGGCCTCCAAGGATACTCCAAGGGTGGCATATTCATGCAAATGCAAATGTTTTGGTTTTTGTTTTTCAAGACAGGGTTTCTCTGTCTAGCCCTGACTGTTCTGGAACTCACTCTGTAGACCAGGCTGGCCTTGAACGCAGAGATCTGCCTGCCTCTGCCTCCCGAGTGCTGGGATTAAAGGCATGAACCACCACTGCCCAGCTAACTTAAAAAAAAAAAAAAAGTGTATCATTTTCTATTTAAATTTGAATTTAAATTCCATTTGCAACAGTTCTCAGATATGTGACCTAATACAAGCTGATTCTCTTGCTAACTTGCATAATAAGATCCACTTTATGGGGGGGTAAAGATGAAATGAGAAGTACTAAGCAAAGCCCCTAGCATATGAGTACTTAGCAAATGAGGACTGTTAGCAATATTGCTTCCCGTGTGTGTTATTGAATGCTGTTGGTTATGCCTGTGACATGACTCTCCTCCAGCTTTCTACTCTTTCTCCCACTGTTCAGATTTAGAGCCCTTTGGTCTACCCTGGGACACTAGTTTCTTGTGTCAATTTTTTTAGAGCAATCTTGTTGCTTCTCTAACTAGATTCCTCTGGGTTCCCTACCGTCTGCTGAACGAAGCCTAACATCCAGGGCTGTTCATAAACTGTCCTCTTCTGCTTCATCCCCCACTGCCGGGTTACTCCTCAAGGACCACCCACGCCCAGCCCCTCTTGTTGAAGTCCATCTCTACCAGTTCGTCTCTTTCAACCTTCCCGCCCACTGCACAGGATTCCTATCTTTGATTGGCTTGGATCCTCAAGAAAACATATTTCAAAAAGCACAAAAGAGAGTGTGTTTAACCATATTCAGCTCACGATAAAGACACAGGTGACTAGAATAATTCATGCTTTGGATGTTTAATGGACTGCCAATAACATCGGTTAAAGGAAAGCGGAGGAACTTTGTCTTGTAAGAAGTAGAACCGAGCCGGGGCAGCGGAGGCACACACTCAGGAGGCAGAGCCAGGAGGATCTCTGTGAGTTCCAGGCCAGCCTGGTCTACAGGGCGAGATCAGGACAGGCACCAAAACTACACAGAGAAACCCTGTCTCCAAAAACAACAAAAATAGAACTGAACAGCTCCGACATCATCTGGCATCTGCTTGGTGACGAATCTGTGGTCAGAAATGTACACGATAGGAAGTTCTTGTTTAGGATCACAATCATTGTCCCACTTGTGCCTAGCTAACTCTGTACCAAGCAGTCACTGGCACAGGTTTGTGTGCTGCAATTATTGAAATCTTGGCTCTTGGACCCTCCTCTGAGTCTCTTGATAAGGCCGCCCTAATTTCTCAATGTCAGCCACTGCACAGTTAAACAAGGGATCTAGTTGGCATATGGACACTTGGTTATCTATGTGCTGCTCCAGAAAAGCCTGTTTATTTAGTTCTGGTGTTGCTGAAGGTTGGACCTAAGATCTCACATATGCTAAGTAAGCATTCTACCACTGAACTACACCCCCAGCCCAAGCGGGCATCTGTGAGTGAAATACTGGCAGCTATATGGTTTAACTCCGAGAACTGCATGTCTGGGTTTCACCGGTTTGGCAGAGCAGATACAGAGATATTTGGGTATCTCTGTATCCTCTACTACTCCTGGAACGGGACTTGGCTCACGATAGTTCAATAAATGACTGCTACACTTCACTGAAAACTGTGGAGACAAAGGTAACAACAGAGAAATGTTTTCATAGTCATAGGTCTTTGGTTCCCGTGTAGATATGACTAGATTTTCATCACCTTGTACGAGGGATGTTTTAAATCACACACCCAACAAGGCCATGAGATTTCACAGATTCAAACAAATCTTGATCTTTTAGGGTGTGGCTGCATTTAACGAGGCCAAGAAAGAGGCACATATGATTTGGGATGGCATATTATAACATTTCCTTAAAGAAATCAGGTTTATTTTCAGTACAAACACTGACAGCTAGAATTAGAACCTCGTTTAGATGAGGCAGGGGCCACATCATGTGTTTTACTCGGCAGTTTAGCCATAAAGCAAAGAGGGCCTAGCATGAAGTAAGCATTAGACCATTCATAGAGTATGCGTTCTTACTACTTAGGATAACTGTGTTGATTTTCTTTATTTGAAGAAACGTGTGACTAAATGAGAAATCCACATTTGAGATTTTTCCACAGAGTCAAATAAATGTATTCCTGTGGGAAATCTTTCAGAAAAGACGAAACTCTGCCGATTCCATTGCAGAGGGAAATCCCCTGGAAGCGGGCTTCATGATATGCGCCCTGGGCAGCAGCTTACCCACTCAGCCAAGTGGACTTCCCCTGGCTCAGGGAGCTGTCACTGAAGTCCGGGCCACGACATTGCCGCCGCTTTTGCACAAGCCTGGGGTGGGGGGGCAAGCCTGCTGTCTCTATGGAAAGTTGGCTCTTCCCCTCTGCGTGGCCACCAAGTCAGACTGTTTGAAATGACTTTCTGGGTTTTTGAAAAGTTTTAGAGATGACTTGACATCTCGTGAGTCCTGGAAATTTTTCGGGGGGGGGGGAGCTCCATTCGGCCATGCCCCCGCTCTCCCTGGGGATAGACGAAAGAGGAAGGTAGGGGTTACCCACCAGGCAAAAGTACAAAGTGGAGGTGCAGCTTTCCTGGTGACATGCTGAATGGCATGGTAGTCAAGATAAGAATCCTGCCCTTAGTGGGGTCTATAGTGAAGACCGATTTGTCTGTTATGCCCGAGACACTGAGTTCTGTTCCTCCCACACACACCCCCACACCCTCTCTCCCGCCTACTACCCCCATACACAAAAAGTCCGTAACTTAAAATACTCTCCCAGTAGTTTCAATGAGGCAGGGAACAGAGAAGAATGAGGTCTGTGGTTCCTTGTGATATTATCAGGTGTTAAAACACAATGCCTTGTGAATTCATCTCTATAACAGTTAAGTAGCCTAGGAGAGTTGGGATTCCCCTTAAAGGCAGCTGCAGACAGGACAGAGCTGCCTGACTAGGGAGAGGGATGTGGCATTCTGCTCCCCGCCCCCCCGCAGCCAGACTTTCACCATTCAGTCTCCCCAGAAGATTCCCTGAAGACAAGAAGCTATCTGAATCCTCCCATTCATTTAAGAACAATCTCTGGTTCATCTCCGCCGGGCGGTTCTCCCGGCACCCCAATAGCTATGATCCCCAATACGTATTGTAAAGGAGAAAAGGCAATTTATCTGTGTTCTAGGATCCATGAGCAGGAGACTGACAAATGAGAGGTCAATGTGGGCTGGGATGTGATTCCCGAAACGTTAATTAATTTAATACCTGCACCTTTTGTTTTAACAAAATCGTGTATCGGTGTTTTGCCTGCATGCATGTCTGTGCACTAGGTGCACACGGTATCCAAGGAGGCCAGAAGAAGTTGTTGTATCTACAGGGACTGGAGCCACAAGAAGGTAATGAACCGCCATGTGAGTGCTGGGACTCGAACCCAGGACCTCTGGAAGAGCAGCTAGGGTTCTTAACAGCTGAGCCACCTCTCCAGCTCCAACTTCATTATATTTTTAATTCATAAAGCCTTCAAACTCCTACCCGACAGGATTCTATTAAGCAGTGTTCTCCAGTTGCCCTGGTCCATGCTATTCAGGGTGGTTCTCTTACTCTCTAGACTAAAGGGGGTACAACACTGTGTCTACCAACACAGCACACTTGAGTTCTGTCCTTTCCCTCTGGGCCATCCCCTTCCTTACCAGTCAATATAATTCTGTGCCTAGAATATAATTCTAGCCAATGCTGGCCTGGAATGCTGGCCTCATTTACCCAAAATGATAAATGCTGTTCTTTGATTCGAAAGGGAATAAACTAGTATTGGTTCAATCCCAAAGACATTTAACTATAACCATCCACTGTCCCCTCTACACAGCCAAGACCTTCACTTTGCTACTCACCCTTGGGTTTTAGCTATGACAACTTCACTATAATCATCTTAGACTTCTGATGTTTCTTTGGTTTTTCCAAACTGCCTTCAATGAAGACCCAGTGCTCAGCTGAAGTTTCTTGAAGCCAAGGAAACTGTGAATTCCTTAAGAAGTCTCAATGGTCTGCCCAGATACAGGAAGAGCCCAGCTGGCTTAGCCTGAACCGTTGGTGGTTTGTGACACACAGCTTCCCCTTAGGCATAACACCGGAAGCGTCTCAGGGCTCAGAGAAGAGCGAATGGTCCCGTGAAAAGCAAGCCAGGGAAGACAGAAACAAAGTCCTGGACTTTGAGCCCCCGCAGACTCTGTTTGGAGAATCAGGGTTTGAATCTGAGTCTTGCCACAGGCTACTTAGTGGTCACAACAGAGGTTTCTTCTCTCAAAAGGGAACATTCTGTCTCTAAAGGCAAAGTAAAAATAAAGTGAACTACTACAATGAAAACAAAACCAATTGCTACTAGATTTGAACTTGGCTTCTCTCCGTGGAAAGGGGACTGGTGAACAAGGCTCAATTTGCTGTATTCCCAGTAAAAAGCCAAGCCGAGAACTATAACTACCTGAGTGCACTTGGTATTCCGAAGTGAAAGTCTTCCTTATTTAGAAAGTGGCCAGTTCTTACCCACCCTGTCCACACCATTCAGCTGTGCCTGTGAATGGACAGGGGCGTGGGACTGCAAACATCCGCCAGTGGCCGAGGCTGTCGAGGCTGTGGCGGGTCCTTGCATCCTGGGGTCTTTTAGATTTTCCCTTGTTCCTCCTGGACCTTGCTTCCTGACTGAGGGATGTGGGTGGGGGACCAGGAGAGTCCAGAGCAAAGAGGAAATAAAACTCAGCAGCCTTCTCTTCAGCTGAGAGACACTTCCTCTTCTTTGAGGTTTCCGAATTGGCTTCCTCTAATTCCTATTTTCTTACCACAAAAGTGGCATCACTGATGTTCAAAAGACCATATCCTCTTGGGGAAATTGGAGGGAGAGGGAGAATGCAGATGAATGAGGCTTCTGAACATTAAACAGGTATTTCATCCATTGATTTAGAAATGAGCCTCCCCCCCACCCACTTGGGTGGTTTTTGTTTGTTTGTTTGTATTGTTTTCTTGTTTTTCCCCCAGACAGTTTCTCTAGTCCAGGCTGGCCTAGAACTTGCTATCTAGCCAATGCTGGCCTGGAATGCTGGCCTCATTCTCCTACATCTACCTCCTGAGCACTGGCTTAGGAACTGCATCTTTTTTTTTTTTTTTTTTTTTTTTTAGCTAAGGATCGAACCCAGAGCCTTGCGCTCTACCACTGAGCTAAATCCCCAACCCTAGGAACTGCATCTTGAACATCCAGTCACTGACAGTTTTCTCCTCTAGCTACTCTGCCACGACTTGAGAGACCTAAACTTCACACCAAGTGCGCTTTGTTCACGGTTATGAAACGAAATAAAAACAGCCAGAGACAGCAGATCTAGACTTTAAAACACTGGAGTGTGAAAGCCTCTGGAACGCTGTCTTCTAAGTACACAGCACCCCAGCCCCACGCCCCTGGATAGATGTCTACTCAACAAATCCAGTTCATTTCAGCTTCGGGTGGGTGAGGGTTGTTAAATGGCATGATTAGGAAAGACAATATTAAGTTATTTTTTGTTTGTGAAGACAGGGTCTCATGTCGATTTGCTATGTAGCTGAGGCTGAACACGAACTCTTTGATCCCCCTGCCTCTACCCAACCCCAGTGCTGTGATTAATAGGTATTTGCCAGCATGCCTGGCTCTAAGAAGTTACTATGTTTTGGTCAGTGAGGCGTCAGACACCATAGACTTAGTTTCTGGCCAGCCAGCTCACAGACAAAATCCCAAGGAGTGAAGGGGGAATTCGCTCAAAGGAGAAGTGGGCACTCGAGGGTGAAAATCAGGAAGATATTTTCAAACGACTTCTCCAAAGTAGTTCAACAACGTAACTGAAACACGTCCACAGGCAAGAAACAGCTAACTGCTCTGGAGACGCAGATGAAGCAAGGAGGGTCAGAAGCTGGGAGTGTGTGTGAGGATGTTCAGAGGAAGAGCACACACACACACACACACACACACACACACACACACACACACACACACACACACACACGGCAAGGGACAAGACCCTGGATGCTAAGGGGGTTTATGCTCTGGCTGGAAGGCAACAGGGAGACCTTGAAACTTTTTTTATTGTTTTGGGTTTTTGTTGTTGTTGTTGAGACAGTGTCCAGGATAACCCAAACTGTTCCCAAACTTGCTGTGCAGACAAGGATGGCCCGAAACTCTTGATTGTCCTGCCTTAACCTCCCTAGTGCTGAAATTACAGGCATGCATCACCACATTCGGTTTTTTGTTTGCTTGCTTGCTTGAGGCCAAGTCTCATGTAGTCCACGATGAGGATGACCTTGAACTTACTGCTCCTCCTTCTCCTGAGTACTAGGATCACAGGTGCACGCTGGGATCACAGGTTTGTGCTAGGATTGATTACAGGTGTGTGCTGGAGTCACAGGTACATGCTAGGATCACAGATGTGTACTATTACACCTGGCTCATGTGATACCAGGGTTGCACCCAGGGCCCCATGCTTGCTAGGCTGAGCTACAACCACAGCCCAGCTGGTCGGTGTTTTCAAGCAAACAGAGTAGCATGACTGGAATTATGCTTTGGACAGATAAACTATGTAGGTGAAAGCTTATGAGGGCGTAAAGTGAAGAAAGCAGAAAAAAACCATCTTCCAGATGTTAGCGTCCCACCCCATTGTTAGTCACAAGCAGGGTTTTTGTAATAGGCTAAACTGGAGACGATCCACATGCTCATCAATACGGAGTAAGTCGGGGAGAGGGCAGAGGGTGTCTCTGGAGCAAGTGTGAGACAGACTGTAACAGGACAGACGGATGTCTGTCCTCCCACTCCTCCCTTCAGTTTTTCTCTTTCTAGATGATATGTCTAGAAGGTTCCATTCCATCTTTGCTCCCCTTAGATAGCACACACTCCTACAGTCACTTTAACAAAAGCAATCACAATTCAGAAGTCAGACTGCAATTCTGTAACAGCAATTCCAAACGGGCTGGACAGATAGGCGACGTGCTTGCCTCAGTAGCAGCAATACCGAATGGGGCTGGACAGACAGGCGACATGCTTGCCTCAGTAGCACGAGGACCGGAATATTATCTCCAGAACCAGCTTCAAAAGCCCTGACAGGCACTTGTAACCCCAGCGCTGAGGAGGCAGACACAGGAAAATCCCTGAAGCTCACTGGTCAATCTAGCTGAGCTCTAAGCCAACGAAAGAACCTGTACTGAAGGAAGTTTAGAGTGTTCCCAAGGATGACGACTGAGGTGCGTTTTCTCACACACGCTACACAAATGCAATCTTAAAATGTCGTTAATAAAATCTCGGGGTTCACTGAGTCCTTTCTACTCGAATTATAAACTGCAGTATTGGCATCACCAGGGATGCTCTTCCTGAATCATCTTCCTTTGGTGCCAGGGACTGATCCCAGGGCTATGCACACACGCCGGTATGCAGCCAAACTCCGAGCCAGAACCAGCAATTGAAGTTAGATCCCTAGGTCAGTCTCAGCCCGTTCCAGTGTGAGAACCATTGCACAGCCAGCCCACTTTCCTCACTAGCAGACCACGGAGGCTCAAGCAGCTAGCTGATTTCCAAGACTGGCAAGATTGGGAGGGCACCTTCAGGAACTTAGATGATAAGGAGGTCCTCCCATGGAGAGTGCGTCTGACACCACACCCCCACGGCCTTCCCAGCAATATGGTACGGCACAGAGTAGTGAAGGAAGAGGAATTTGGCTACTGGAAATTAGGCCTGGAATCGAAAAGACAGGTGAAGTGAATGAAAGAATCTGCTGGGGTTGAAGCCATCGGTTGCATGGAATGCTTTGAGGGGGATGGGGAGATCAGGTGACCCCAGAAGGGGACAGACAGTAGAGACCTTGTAAGGCTGGAGAGACTAGGCTTAAGATTTGGTCAAGGATGGCTTAGAGATGGTTCTGCAGTTAAGAGCGCTTGCTGTTCTTCCAAGGGAAGCAAGTTCAGTTCCCAGCACCCACGTTGGGTGCCCACAACGGCCTTAATTCCAGCTCCAGTGATCTTCTGAGAGCACACACACACTCTCAGTACACTCTTACACAGATCTAAAATCATAAATAAAAATAAACCTTACGAAACCTGGCCAAGGAACTGGTAGTTGTGTTGAGGGAGTAGGCAGGTAAAGAGGTGGTGGTCCAGGGATGAACTTGAAAGTTTGAAATCCTGGGCTGTGAGATGCTTCAGTGGGTAAAGGTGCCTGAGGTCAGGCCTGACCACCCGTGTTCAACTCCTGGGACCCACATGATTGGAAGGACAGAACCAACTCCTGAAAGTCATCCTCTGCTCTCTACATGTGTGAAGCACATGAGCACACACACACACACACACACACACACACACACA